TTAATAATTACTATATCAGATCATATAAATTATTTTTGCGTAGAACACTAAACCTACTATCGTACTACCTGTACAAGGAGGTTCAGAGATGTGTCATTTTTGCAATAAAAGAGTTTATCTCATGGAAAGACTCAGTGCGGAAGGCAAATTTTTTCATCGTGGTTGTTTCCGATGTGAATATTGCTCTATTTCATTAAGAATAGGTAATATTCAATTTTTTTCTTACAATGTATTGTAATTTTTTATAATTCTAATGTTTTATGATTTTATAATATCGATTGTTTTGTCTTATAGGAAATCATACATTTGATCGAGAGAAAAATGGAGGGCGCTTTTATTGTACGCAACATTTTGGACTGTCGGGAACAATGAAAACTAGAGCAGAGAAAAAGAGGATCAATTTGGTGAATAAAGAAAATGTACCTAATACCGCGATTGCATTAAAAACACCAGAAAAGGTATAAAAATCTTGTACAATAGTGTAGAATAAAAAACTGTTAAAAGAAACGCTATACTAAAAATTCACGAACATTTTTTATAAAAGAACATTTTTTATAAAATTTCGAATAGAAGCATTAAAAAACAGTAAATTTTTATCAGAAAATATATGTGAATGGAAAATTTTTAGGTCAAAACATCATTAGAAGGCATTGTTGGGTTCGATTTGCTCGATCGCGGTCAAACTCCGGAGAGAATTGAATTTGAAAATCTAGCGGAGATATCAGATCCAGAAGAAGCTCACAGTCAAATGGATGAAGACGAATGGACAGATAGAAATTTTGGTGCCTCTACCGCGGAAATGGGATCCAGTGACGATATTTCTGATATGAGGTTTATATAAAATTTATAATATTTATTTATTCTTTGCAAATCCCTTATAGTTTATAATTTTGCCCTTATAGTTTTGCAATATTTTAATACTAATTTTAGTCTAATTATAATTGATAAGAACAGAAGTTTTAATAAAACTTAAAATCTTTATTGGAAAATATATTCTAATGATTTGTTTGTAAGATACAAAGCATTCCTTGTATACGTATAATCTTTAAATTTTTAGCTATGATGATTATTCAAATCATTGTTTATTTTATAGTGATTCTGATGAGGATAATGAAATATATGAGGAAGCTATAGATCAACCATTAACAACCGAAGGAACTCTCGAGTTGGCTAAGAATTGGACGCTGCGCTATTCGCATCCGCATGCTACAATCGGGCAATCTGATACCGGCAGCAATGAATATGAAGATTCTAGCGATGAATATACTAGTGAAGGTATCATTTATCGTGCGTATAAAAAATCATATGCGCAAATTTTCGCTAATTAAAATTAAATAAAATTATTGATTTCTTTTTTTGTTATTGTGTTTTGTATGACATGTTTTATAAATATTTTATGTATCGATTTTAGATTAAAGAAATTAGGAAAGAAGTAAAAATAGAAGATATCCGATAAAATAACAAATTCTTAAATTTATATTGTACTTTTGTAAGTTGTAACATCATGTATTTTTTATCCTTTGTTAGACGATGAAAGCGGTACTGCGACCGAAGATGAGGATGATGTACGTGCGCGAGAACTCCGGAAGCAGGAAGTGTGGTTAAAGGTGCCACCACGTAATTCTGATACCGATACCGGTTCGGAAACAGAGGTGAAGCATTCTCAAGAATCTGTAAATCTCGCTATAGTTCAAGAATCACTCGTTTCTCTCGAATCTAAAGTAACATTGTCCTCAATGTCCAACATGAATGATAATGAATTATCAGTCGACAAAAATGCTCTCGAAGGACTGTTAAAAATTTCCAATGAGACGGTATTGTCTTCTAATGAATTAGCTATTAGTACACACGGTCAGGACAATACGACTTCCGTTCATAAAGATGGTGCATCTCTCAATGCTATCCCGCAAATTTCTGAAAGTGTAATTTGTGCGACCAATTTAACACTTCTTTCAATGCCAAACAACACTGACATTAATATTCCAAGTCAAAACAAATCTTTAAATCTTTTGACAAATATCGCTTCTAATGACCACTTGGATAAAAAGGACTACAATTCTGAATACGAAAGTTTTGTTGACGAAAGTATTCGATTAAATTTAGACGGGTTAGATGATAGGATTGACAATGAAAAATGTTCACAAAGTAATATTCTTGACGCGAAAGATCTTAATACAAATTGTGTTGATTTCAATGTTAGCATCTTGAGCACTGATCTAATTAAAGATTCGTTAGATTTATTCACAAATAATTTGAAAGGAGATTTTGTGCAAGATGATTGTTTAAAAGTCAGTTCGAAAGAAGTTACGGAAATTACACTTGCAGATACACCTTGCATTAGAACAAGCAAGGATTCCAGGGTTTCCGATAGCGAAACTATCCTTAATACCGACGATTTGCCGATTGTGATTACTTCTTCCTTAAATGAAAGCAAAAGAAGTTCTTTATCTTCTTCGTCATCAGAGATTTATCAATCGGTAGAAATGTTGTTTAGTGGCAATTCAGCTATTAACGATCACTTAGATGATTTAGATTATCCGATATCTAACTTATCTAAAAAAATAGAAATATGTGAAAATAGCGTTATTAACCAAAATGATGGCGATAGTGGAAATGATTTTATTAACAAAAATAAAAATTTTGAATTTATTGATGTGAGTAATGCTAATACTTGTATAAAAGATATTACTGATAAAAAAGTCGACATACATTCAACGATTCCGATGGTCACCGCGAGCGTATTACAAAAATCAATATGTCCAGTAGTAATAGTAACGTCACCATCTCCGACGCAGGAGAAACCTCTTGAAGCATTATCTCTGAAAACTTCGGGATTGCTAGTTCCCCCGGAATTACATGATATTCCGAGATTTGACAATTGCGACAACGCATTTGATAAATTAAAGCGTGATTTGAAGCAACGAAAGGCAAAAAATAAAGCTATAGGAAATGGTCTCCGGCCATTATCGACTGAATCCGCCCGGTTGAAAATGAGTAAATATTTTACAGAAAATAAGAAAATGGTTTCGAATCGATTGATACAAAGTGAAGTAGCTGAAAACACATCTAATATGGAAGTAGTAAAGTTAGATATTAAGCCTAAGTTGTCTAGCAAAGTAAATACAAAAAAAATGCTGAAGTACTTTGATACAACAGGTTCTTCAAATAGTAATAAATTTAAAGCTTCTAACATAATTGGAATCTTTAATCAAAATGAAGAAGAAAAGTTGAAAATTGATATTGAAGGAATAAGCGATGTAAGTGAGAAAGATATTGACGTGATCGATCGACAATTTAATCAAATCGAAGAACAGAGTAGAATTGCACATTCAGAAACTGATGAGATGAGCTCTGATACACAATTGTATTTGTCAGGATTTGATATATACAATAACGAAGAAGAAATAGCATGTGAGAAACAGCATAATTTAAATTTAATATGTAACGATTTGGTTGAATCAAAACTTCAATTAAATAAAGTTAATAATAATGATAATCCATTATCGAACTGTAATATTCTCAAGTCAGAGAACAACAATAGAGACACGTCATATGTATACACAGATACGGATACATATCTAAATATTAATGATTTAAAGTTGCATACTGTTATAATTTCCGACGTATCGATGAGTACAGATGTGGAAAGTGACATGCACCTCGATATTACAAACGATAGAAAGGAACAAAAGAATGTTGATTCACCAGAGAATATTCTGACAAGTACTATAAGTAACACAGATAAAAAACAGAAAGAAAAAAAATGATAAATTTTGCCAGCAACGTGACAGATGATGATATAATTAAAAGAGACAGTGTAATTAAAATGGATGTACAAAGCAATATTTTAAATAATGCAGCGAATGAAGAAAAGAAAGTGAAATTGGTAGATTTGACTGTAGGTGTTTTGTATAACAATAATGATGAAAAACAAACTAATATTCCAAGTAATGACAAAGATAATGATAAAGATAATAAATCAAATAAAAATATGTTTGACAATTATATACATCCTAATACACAGATAACTACTACTTCTTTACAATTAAATAATAATACAGGTAATGTTATCAAATGTAATAGATTATATAAAAGTGATACTAATTTAAATGAGAATAAATCACTGATTTTTTGTAAAAGTATTGGTAATAATTCTAAATCATTGTCTGAATTAAAAAACATGATGTGTGAAGATGTGTCTGGAATAAAAACTACAATTGTTGAAAAAATAGGTGTGTCTGTGAATATCGGAGATATAATTACAAATAGTAATTTAATACAAAATTACATTGAACAAGTTCCTAAAAAACCAGAACGAAAAAATGTGTCTTGTGATATTAATTCTTCTGAAAAAACAAATTTTGATGTAACAACATCAAACTCAGAGCTCTCTCCGCCTAAAATTCCAGTAAGAAAAAAGTCAACAAAGAGCTTTGATCATCGATATCGGAATCAAGATGCCGAAAATGTGTCAAAATTACAAGGTCAAATTGTTGGAACTATTTCAAAATTATGTAATCAGGATAGCAATGATGTTCCTAACATTCAATGTCAAGATGTTGAAAACTTCTCAAAAGTTAAAAGATCAGATATCAACGATGTTTCAAAAATTTACTGTCACGATATGTCAAACGGTCAGAATCATGATATTAAGATTATTCAAAGACCATTAAGACGAAATATTGCAAAATTACCAAATCAGGATGTAACAAATTTTTCGAATTTAAGCAACAAGATTACAAAGGATGATAAAAATCTTACAGAAAATGTTGCTGGGACATCAAAATTACAAAGTCGAAGCAGAAATGCATCGATTCATCATCGCACAACTTCTCATGTGCTAAATAAATCTGAGGAATCCATAAAATTTATCTCTAGCAATAGTCAATCGAAGAAGGACAAATGCATAATTTCGTGATATCAATACAATAATATCTATACTACAATTACATTTTGTGATATAACATTTTACATAAAAAATGCTTTACTTATATTAAGCTTTAATTATATTCGTTTTACTATTGTTATTTAATTTGATAACATAACTCTCTATGTTTTTTGATATTAAACATAAAAGTTTTATATAATATAGCTATATAAAAGTTTTTATAATATAGCTATATAAATATATAGATAATTTTGGATTATAGATAATTGAAAGTGACTAAAAATGGATAGATGGATAGATTCTCTTCTCTCTTAAGTTTCAGAAAAACAAACATCAAGCTCTTTAATATAAATCAACTGAGGATTTCAATTTGAAATCTAATTTTTATCGAAATACTGAATATTAGGAATTATAAAAATTAAAAAAATGTAATTTCAGACTGGTCAACAAATCTATTTTTGATGTTATAATAGATCCAGCATATTAACTACAAATTTATCAAATTTGGCGATTATTTATATATGAAATTAATCTATATATCACATATAATGGCATCATATTAGCTCTGTCAGATTTGCGATTTTTACAATCTCTAAAAACTTGTAAATTCGTGAATCACATTTATTTTTCATATTTATGAACTCAAATTTATAACTATTTTGTGTGTTTTCATAGTGTATAATCCTAGAAATTTCTTTATATACCCTTATCAAATTATTATAGCTGTATAATTTTAAATTAGGGAAAACTATGTGAGATGTTGTTAATAAACAGAAAAAAAGTATAAGTAAAAATCTTGGCTGATGGTGATTGACTTTTTAATTCTTAATGAGGTTAGTTTTTAATCGATCGACTAAGGAGGAATAAGGAAAAGGTAATCATCTTGTTGTATATGAATGGAGTGTTATTGAACTAATTTATTATTAACAGTGTCTCAAATCATTAATCGTTTGTGCTTGATTTAGTATCATGTTAAAAGTAGCGGTTTACTCACCAATATTAACTAATTTATTCAGAAATTATCACCAGCCAGCATTTTATTAAATGTCTCACTACGTTTTCATTTTAATTATAAAACTCATACACATTCTATATGTGTTACGCATGCAGTTATATGAAAATAGAATAAATGCACATCAAAGTGCAGTTAGAAATAAGTAATGTATTTTTTGACAAGTATGAATTTTTTCTTAGAAGATTTTAATTATGCGCGCGCGCGCGCGCGCGCCCACACACACACACACACACACACACAGACACAGACACGCAGCACAGACACACACACATTATTGCTCTAGTATAAGAATGAAATAAGAAAAACAATAACCAAACATGTACAAAATATGCTTCTTTTAGAAATATAGTAACATTGGTGTTAGTTTATCGCTTATTAAAATTGTCATTCTATATAGTTTTATCATTACACAAACTCTTGTTTCATAATCATCTTGATTATTAATAAATTTTTGGAAATTTTATAACACAAAATAATAAACTTGACAACATAAGTTCAAGTTTAATTCACATAGTTAAGTTTACATTTTTCAAAATTTATCATTTTTATCACTAGATGGTTGAAATATATCATATATCGTAAAATAGAATTTAATCTAAGAAATAAAAGTTTAGACATAGACAAGTTTATAAATAGAAAAGCTAATGAGTTGTATAAGTGTACTCTATGATTTGATATAGTAATCATGATAAAATATTGGTTTAGAACAGCATATATAGAAATGAAACATATATCCAATCAGAATACGTCATAATCAGAATATTTGCCTCTCTTCGTGCCTTTTTCTTTTTACCTAATTTATACTAATTTACTAAACTCACTATTTCTATCTATACATTACAATGTTTATTAATTTAGTATGATGGCTTTGTATATATTTCGCAGGTTGTGTCGTCGGAAGACGCATCGACGGAGGAGAGCGTGGAAAATTCAGCAACCGAGATATCGACCGATTCTGAATTCGATCATGATGAACCGACTCCGACACAGCACGAGATTCCCGAGATTGCCATCAACGATTCTTATGTGCGAAAGACGAGAGGCGTTTATGTCGAACCGAAAAAAGTACAAGTGAAAAGCAAGATGATTTCTTCAATCAATGGCAATCTGACGCAGGACAAGAGACAACAAGATAAGAGCGAGCAAATTTTGGAAGATCGTACTAAAGTGCAATTGAACAAAGAGGTAAATTGCAATGTGCCAGCTTCTATCGATACAAATAACTGCACACCATTGTTGAATCCACGAAAAGGAGATTATCTTTTGAATCGCACTCACTCCACCGGTGGAATCGCCTCGAGACTTTCCTTAGAATTGAAAAAACGCTACTTATTGGGCGGATCAGTTTTTGGTGGTTCTGTCATAAAATCAGGTTCAACGTCTAACGTGGACACGAAATTGAGAAGCTTTACTGATTCAATTTCTCAACATCAAAAGTTGTTGAATCCAGCACCGGAGCCTAGTCCTACCATGCAAGCATTTCTTCAAGGTATTTTCATTTATAATTTTAAATATTTTCAATATTAATTATAATTTTCAATATTTTCAATATTATATTTCATAATACTATATATATTATTTTATATCTTTAATCCTCAAACTTTTCAAGGATATAAAATAATATTTATGATATATTAATTATTGGTCAGAAAGATTTGAAAGATATAAATTTTTGAAATGATATATTATCTTCGTAAAACATCTTATACATATGCTTGTCTGTATTTTATTAAGGTACTAGTAAACTGCGTGCCAACAATGCGCCGCTTTCTCCATTGTCGCCTACAATTTTATTTTCGCGACAGTTATCAATAGATCGTTGTCGAAATTCATCAAACGACATCGCGTACAAGCCAACAACCCTGATAGAAGCATTCAAGATGCAACAGTTACCTGATTTAGTGAAAGAATCTAGTATTTTAAAATCAAAAACGACACCTAACATCTGCGGTGAGTCTTCGATAAAAGACAAGGAATCGATCGACGAACAAGCATTTTTACAGCAAACTAATAACTTGACAAAGGACGTTATAGAGGATATAAAAAGCTCACAGAATACAGAGAAGAATCTCTCGAGTAATATGGAAGAAAATAATGGATTTAGACCGCGTAGTCCTCTTCATGAAACGTCCATTGTCGTGCCGCAGATGGACTGGTGTAGGAAGAACGAAGACAAGGATGCCAGTTCGGGCGATTCTGAGATAGACAGCGATTCGTTATCTTCCGATTCTAACGAAGCAATTGATAACGATCAACTTGTCGCTGTAAATCTTTCGCCGCCAAGATTACAGATTCACAGCACCGATGGTGATCTCTTACTAGATGAAAGAGCTGATCGATACAAGCATTATGATCCAGATGATGGTCAAACTTTCGAGCCAGACTCGATTGAAGTCTCTTTCTTGCGAGATCATCGATCATTTAATCCACCAGTTGATAACACACATATTGTTGAAGCGGTGAATAATAATATGAAACAATTAGATTTGCGGGACGATAACAAGAAGAGCAATTGCAGCAGTCCTACCTCCGAAGTTTCAGCAATGTCTAACAAACAAGATGACTCCGAGGAAAATGACATTACCACTGCGGCGTTCACTGAAACAGAGTTTTCTGAATGGGCTCGCGATGGAGAGGCTTTAGTCTCTGATGACCTTCGCGATGTAGAATTCGATATTGATCCTAGTTTCATCACTATACGAAGGAATAATGCAAAACTATCTTCAACACCCGCTAAAATTGCTAAAGAAGAGGATACAGAACTTGAATATTGCAAAATCGACCGAATGATTGATGAGGAATATCCAAACAATAATACATCGAAACTATTAGTAAACGGTGAGGACATTAATTATATGGATACAGACAATGAATCATTATTGGATGATAGCCTTCAAGATGCTTCTAATACGGTAATGTTAAAAAATCGGGGTTACATCGAGTTTGTAAACGTAAAGACCAATCCTTCCGATATCCCAATTTCGGGGGGGGATTTCACTAAAACATGTAATCTACCGGTCATTGACGCGCCGATAGCGAAACTCGACTTAGAAAACGATTCATACAGTGAAGAAGAAAAAGAAGAAGAAGAAGAAGAAGGTTTCAAAGATGCCAATGTGATCGAGATAGATCCAGTTACCATGGAAGACGTAATGGATAAACTAAACGAGCCCATTACGAGTAAATTATCGATGAGATCGGAGATTCGAGCAGAGGAACAAGACGAAAGAGAATTTAAGGAGAATACAAAGCGAGAACAGTTAGCAGAAGCTTTTAACAAAGAATTGCTTCAATCGATGGAAGAAGATAGTTTATTACTTGTGGAGCCAGCGGAGGATACGACTACAAGCGAAGTTGTTACAGTGCTCGCCAGTCCGATCAACCCTCAAGTGTCTATAATTCCTGTAGAAATGATGGAGAAGCACGAGGAGTTAACTAAAGCAGACTCTAGCAATCCGGATTATTTGGAATATGTAAAGAGATTACAATCTAGAATTGCAGAATTTAGTAACGTCAAGGATTCCATTGATGTCAGAAAATCGAGGCGGAAGAACTCGAAAAGTTCAGTGCAGATACGTACAGCAGAAATGATTGTTGAGGAAATTAAATGTCAAGAAACAATGACTGTAAGTAGTAACGGTATCAATTCGCCGGCAACATCAAGAAAACTTGAGGAGATTACGAGAGAACGGTCGAAGCAGAAGAATGTTATTCAGGATCTCCTAATGGATAAACTTGAGGCTCACAAACAGAAGTCAGCCGAGAAAAAGGCTCGAAGAGCTGCCAGAGCTTCATCTTTTATGACAACACTGTCACCAATAAAACCGACATTATCAAATATTTCCTCCGTTGGTAACAAATTTGTACCTATCTCTATAACATCATCAGTGAATAGTCCAGTTCGTACAACCTTCAACGAAGCAGACAAGTCATTAGATCGTTTAGTATCTTTGTGCCCTCGTGAGCAATCCGATCAAGTAGAAGCCAAAGAAAGAATTCCAAAGAAGGCAGACGAAAAATCGATTACCGTTAGTCTAGAAGATATCTTTAAGACACCACTCGCGCCACCAAGATTTAAGAACGAAGAAGCAAGGAGGACTGCCGAAAAGGCCAGGCAAGATGCCCGCGAACGAGCTAGAATGAAGAGCGATGAGGATTTGGGCCTAAGTCCCGAAGACAGAATCAAGGAATTAAGAATGAAGGTAACTAGGAGACAACTCTCGATGGACGATACGGTAAAGAACGATATGCCGAAGACTGAAAGAGTTAAATCGTATAATTTTAACGCAATGGATAATTCAGAACTGAAATTACAAACCAGTAAAAGCACCGACAATGTGAAAAACATCGCGAGAAAAATCAGTTTTCAGAAACTGCCACCAGCTAGCGCGAAATCAATGGACGAACTATTGAATACCGCAGGTTTATCACTTTCGGATAATAATAGCGTGGTAATGAAAAGGGACAAAAAAAAGTCGAAGGACTCCGAGAGAAGAAAGAGTATTATACAAGCGGTCTCAGATTTCTTCTTTAAGAAGGAAACCAGTCCATCGCCAAATCAAAAGGATAAACTATCAATGTTTCGACTGACTTCAAAATCCAAAGGAAAAGTAAGTTGTGTTGTTGTTG